GGAGAAATCTTGCCGAGAGACATGATACCAAGAATTCCTTTTCATCTAACAGAGTCCTGAGCTCTTTGAAAGTAAAATGCCTGGGATTAGAAGGTTGGCATTTCAGCACAGGATTCAGCTGCTCCTCCCCCAAACAAAACTATGTAAAATTCTAGGTTGTGTTTAGGGCAAATGTGAATTCCCTCAGGTCCTGGCAACAACTGAATGAGAATCTTTGCTGACATCCAGGCTAGGCAAGAAGTGAATGCAGACAATCCCAGCTGTCACTGAGGACTGAATAAGTTGTTCCAAATGCCTTTGACCCAGCAAGACTTCTCTAGGGACGGGGCAGGTAGAGCAATAGAGACCACTCTTTTTTAACTCGGGGTCTGAATGGACCACAAGTAGAATGGTGAGAGAAAGAAGGCTGCATTTAACAGATGCTGTGCCATTCGCCAAGTAACCTTTGCAAGCTATGTATACATGCCCTCTAGGTCTAGATGTTTCATGAAATTTCCCATCACTGGGGAGGCACCCGTGGAAGAGGACATGGTAGGGCATAAATTAACCTGTTCAGGCTGCAGTAGCAAAGCACCTCAGACTGGGTCGTTTCTAAGCACCTTCCACTTACTGCTGATAGTTCTGGAAGGTACAAAGTTCATGATCAAACAGCTGGGTAGATTCAGTGTCTGAAAAGATACGCCCTTTCCCTGAAAACTGGCACCCTGAGCGGGGAGTGGTGGGACACACATGTAATCCCAGCACTCGGGGAGGCTGAGACAAGAGGAACACAAGTTGAAACTTAGCCTGGGCAACTTAATGGTTTGGCAAGAACTTGATAGATAAAAATAAAAGAGAAAAAGGGCTGGGACCATAGCTCAATGCAAAGGCCCTAGATTCAACCCCCAGTACTAAAATAAAATGGCATCTAGTTACAGCTCCGTATGCCAGGAGGCCAAAACCTCACTCGAACTTTTTTGTTAACTTGAAAAAAATGTATTTTAGTTATACACTTAAAAAGCTGTACCCAAAAACTTGTAAAACAGTTGTAAAACTGAGAAAGCTTTCAGGGGCAAGGAAGGGTGAAATATTTGAACACTGGGGAAATTAGAGAAATAAAAACAGTATAATGTTTTAAAAATTAACTATTTCCAAGTATAAATTTTATAAAAAGAAAACAAATTCATGAATTACTTTGAATGCTAAATAAGTATCCAGTTAATAAACTTAGACTTAATATCCCTAGTCAGCACTGGAGGGATATAAAATTGGATCCATTCGTGTGTAGTTTGAAAGAATGTGCTCGTTAAATAGTTCTTAAGACTTGTACACATTTCTCTAAAGTGTGCTGTAGCGGAACACCCATCTGTGCAGATATTTCTCCCTTAATACCACAACTTCTAAAAAAAATCAATGATAAAATAAATCATAAGATGAAAGAATATTTTATAAGATATCTGCACACATGAATGATCTCAAAATGTACAAACACCTCTGTAAACCAGTATTGTATCCATGCATATGTCAAATTTATTAGATTCTGAAACTGTATCTAAGGAAATCTTTCCTATACTCTCTCAGTGCTTAATATTAAAATCGAGACTAGTACAGGCCGCACACTTCAAGTGGTCAATCAGCTGTTACTGCTTTATACACATATTTGCTTTAGGGCATGATTTAATGTTCCATCTTCATGAGCAAATGTTTCCTGAAATATATCCCTTTGAAGGGCAAAAATCAGATTTGTGACTTTGTGCAGTGGGTGCTGTGCTAACATGGTCCACATTACTGGGTGTGACATGGAGTCCAAGTTTTTGAGCCTGAATGTGAAAAATGCTTGAAGCCTGGTTCCAGATTTTGCTTCACTTGTGTTACAAGTACTGTACTCAAAGCAGTTTGAAAACATTAATTTGATATCAGTAAATTCAGATGCTAATTTTTATTTACTTTTTCACAAATTATATTTAAAGCGATGGGCTTTCTAATGATGTCATAGTAGTCTGGTACCTGGATTTTAGAGACCAGTTTCCAAAAAGGCCAGTTATCACCATGCTGCAGTAATCCTACAAAAAGTAGCTCAAAAGTAGGCAATTTATGAAATCCTCCCTGTTGGCCAAAACTCCTTCAATTCAGCGGCATTGGAGATAGCTCCATAGACTGTCTTTTCCTGTTTCTTTTCTTGGATTCGCTAACCTGGAGACAAAGTCTTGAAGTGATGTTTAAAGATCATGACTCTTCACCTAACTCGGTGGGAGTAACTGACACTGGGGAAGCTGACGGTGTTCTGGTGTGTTTCTGGCACTTCTGCCTCTGCATTTCCTATGAAGGCTAAGGAGTCCCACAAATACAGCTGCTTGCTCTGTGCCACAACCAACAATTCTTGAAGAGTTAGTTTCTGCAGGGGGAGCAGATCTTACCTTTCTTAGGTTTCTACCAGTAGTTCTAGATAAATCAGTACTTTTTTGGGTGTATTCTGCTGACTGGAGGGTATCTTCTAGGATCTTGTCTTTGGCCACAACTTGAGGAGGAAGAGCTGAGTGTCCCTCTTGTCTTAATTGGCAGCCTGACTTGTGGTCTTCCTCATTTTGGTGGGCTGAGTTCTTCCTCTTCTTTTTTAGGGGGCCAGTTCTATGCAGGAGGGCACCACCTTCACAATCGAATCATCTTCAAAGGACTCACTTGGGGAGTCAGATTTTATGAGAATTTGAGGAGTATATATGCACATAGAACAGAACAGGGGCGACAGCCTTTCATTACCAAAAAAGTGCTGATCTCCTAAAAAATAATCTCCGCCAGCATGATTAGGAGATGTAACCAGTATCTTCAAGAGAGGAGGCTACAGGGGAAGTTTCTGCTTAGCAAGTTTCCTTCTGCGTAGGAGTTTTTTCTGCCTAAAGAAACTTTTCAAGAACTCCTCACCTAAACTTTGGATAAAGTTCAGACCTTTATCCTCATACAAAAATTCTATTGATGGCCAGGTAATTAATACAATGCTGAATTTCACTGACTGAGAGACAGTTCATAGATTTAGTTAATCATGACATGTCATCCATGTCATGGATGCTCATCTTGTTTGAAAGCCCTCCTGAACTCACAATTCTGCCTCTTTCTTGCATTTTTAAAATAGCATAAGCTATGGGGTGACCCATCGTTTTTCTAATATTACCACTAAGTAGCGGGGCAACCTTGAAAGATGTGGGCAACCTTATTCTAATTCATTGTTCTTCAATTTCCTTATCTTTTCTAAAATTTAAATTTATTGGTACGTTTTAGGTGTACATAATGATTATATTCATTACAGAGAATTTGTACCTGTACATGACATAACTTGATTCTATTTTTCCAGCTCTCCTCCTCTCAACCCTCTTATCCTCCCTATTTACTAACATCGTGCTTCTATCTTTTTCTTCTTTTCTCATTTGTTTTCTTTTCCTTTCCTTCCTTTCCTCCACTTCTCTCCCTAGCTCCCCTTCCCATTTGAACATTTTCTTCCTATTCCACAATATCTATTATACATTTTGGTCCTTATTTACATGTTCAATTTTCCTTATCTTTTAAAGAGGGATACAAATCAGACTTACTCGTAATTTCGTGGCAAGGATTAAAAAGAGCAACGGTGTAGAGTGCTTCAGTCTGGGACAGGCAAACTCTTAATAGATAGTAACCGATGTTAGCTGAGCAGCCAGGTATTGGAGTAATCAATGAAAACAATAAGGCAAAACGAAGATGACGGTCAAGTCTTCATTGCTCGCAGCAAAAGTATCAGCAAGTGGGGAAACAGAAGGGGCTGGCTTCGTCCATGGGATGGCTCAGCATGGCGGGCAGAGCAAAGCAGAAATCAGGATCGTGTCTTTGCTGACAGAGCACTGAAGTCTGAGTCACAGTGGAAAAAAATAGGCTCAAGACCAACTCCATTTCCATTAGCAGAGGCCTTGACAGAGGCTGTGACCAGGGAAAGGCCTCTGAAGGGAGGCAGCTGGACCAGGAATGCAGCTACGTGGAAGGGCCAGAGGTAGTGAGAGCTGGAGCCCTTGACAGCAGCTCCCAGTGGAGACTGCACTGCCCCGGCAGGCACCACATCTGGGCGGAAGGGCAGCTTTGCATCCTGAGGTCTATCAGGTAGACACCTCATAATTCCTGTGGATGGATGAGAGATCACAGGGGATTTGGGCTAGGGATTGATTATTCAACTTACCAGTAATCACACACACACACACACACACACACACACACACACACACACTCCCTCCACTTGTATAAGATCATGTAAAGCACTGTGTATGCAACTGAGTTTTCATCAGAAGGCTGAGAGTAGTACTTCATGCAACAGGGAAAAATAATTTTGTGTAAGTATTTCTGTCTCCCAGTTTCTTTTTTCTCTCATAACACCTTTTATAAACTTGTTAAGATACACACAATGTAAAATTAGCCCTCTTAGTCATTTTAAGTGTAAGTTCAGCAATTTATACTCATGCAACCAGTCTCTAGAACTCTCTTCATCTATCAAAAATAATACTACTGTATACCTCGACATTCCCTGCTCCCCTGTCCATAACACTTCTAACAACACCTCCTGCTCTTCCTAGTTCCTCCATTTTAATTTATCTTGGCTCATAATATAGAGTGGGGTTTTTTAAAAATCATTTTTGGGGGGAAATTATGATTTTCACGTCACTCTGATTTTCCAAAAAGTAAATTTCCACACCCTCCACACCCAGAATGAATGGTACTTGCCTCCTTCCTTAAAAGGAACTTTAGCAATGACCCAAATTCTGAGCATTCCCTTCAGAATTGCTTCCCACTCTAAATAGTTTATCAGATTTTTTCCCTTTCTTGCTAACCATGGACGATACTTACCCACCAAGCTTTTACGTGCAGAATTTCTTCATATCATTATAGAATGAGATTTCAGGCACCAGAAATTCAATAGGAAGAAAAGATTTCTGGAGCGGTCCCCAAAACTGCTGTGCATGAGGTATGCACTCACTAGATCATATTTTCAACTTTGTTGTACTCTCTAGGTGATGTGTTGACATTCCTAGACTCTCACGTAGAATGTAACGTTGGTTGGTTAGAGCCTCTTCTGGAAAGAGTTTATTTAAGCAGAAAGAAAGTGGCCTGTCCAGTAATTGAAGTCATCAATGACAAGGACATGAGGTAAGACTGCATATCCCCTCAGTATCTCTAAGTACATCTCTGCCCACAAGCAGTAAAAAGTGCTGGCTTTAAGAGGAACATTTTTTGAAAAATCTAAGCAATCAGTTGTTTACTTATTTGAAATAAATGAAAATATAATAGGTACTTTGTATGTGGTACTCATTATCCAATAATATATTTGGTTACTGCTAACTCTTAATACCAATAAATTTCACCATTTATTATCAAATTCATCCCCTTTTATATTAAGCTGAATCCTAAGCTTTATTTCCCTCAATTTGAGTGTTTCTTTTTTGTGGCCAACATATTTGTGCTTCTAAATTGTTTATTTCTTCCTCAAAAATGGCGAGGGTATACTCCAGCATGGTGGCACATGGGTGTAATCCCAGCACTCTGGGAGGCCAAGGAAAGAGGACTGAAAATTCAGTCTACCTGGGTAACTTAGTGACCCTCAAAATATAATTTTTTTTACCAAAAAAAAAATTGAGATCTGGCTCAGTCCAAAGGCCCTTGGTTTAGTCCCTACCACCACACACACACACACACACACACACACACACACACGCACGCACACGCACGCACGCACGCACACAAAGACAAAGCTATTATTGTTTTTAAAGTATAAGTTAAAAGCAAGCAATTTGGTCAGCTAGCCACCAGTACAAATTGCACTCATAAATTTTCTTGATTGAAACTGTTAAGTGATGCTGATCTAAAATCGCCTACCTAAGTACCTGTTCTGTACATGAATAAGTCATGGAGCTAGTTGATGAAGCATATAGAGATACATGCAATCTCAAGTGGTACTTTGTTCTTTGTTATTGTGCTTGTTTGTTTGTTACTGAATTAGTTACATGACAGTGGACAACTTTCAAAGAGGCGTGTTTGTGTGGCCCATGAACTTTGGTTGGAGAACAATTCCTCCAGAGGTCGTTGCAAAAAACAGAATTAAAGAAACTGATGTAATAAGGTAAGTATGTAAAATATAAGACTAGAAAGCAATCATACATTTTTTTGTAAAGGTATAGAAAATTTCACCAAATGGCTCTAACCTATCATTCTTTGAACATCAAGGATTGTTAGTCTAGCTAAAAGATTATAAAAGCAAATTTTTCCTGGGAAATTAGTTTTCCACTAACCAAAGTCATTTTTAAATACCCAATTGAACACTATTCAGCCATGAAAAATTCAGCTTAGAAAATTCACTAATACTCTTCCTGTTCCCTGGGATTTGTAGCTTAAGAAACAAATTGTAACCTAAGAAACAAATACTGGGTCCATGTGCTGTATTAACACACATAATCTTAAATAAACATGAGTAAAATTAAAAGAGTAAATAATGGTGATAGAAATATCATTATAATAATAGCTATAGTGAGATTGTCTTTCACAGTCAAATCCTACGCTCTCCATGGGACAGGCGCCAAATTCTGTAAATAAATTAAGAGACAGACACAGAAGCTAATATGAATTAGAATTTGGGCTTTATTACTGGAGGTAGATAGATTCAAGATCACTGGGTGGATTTAAAGCCTAAGTGGTGACTCTTGTCGCTTGCCCCGAGTTCAGACCTGCAGGACAGGCAACAGCCAGCCCTACGCAGAGCAGGAGAGTCCTTGTGCCCTCCTGGAGAAAGAACTCGAGCAAGCACAAGTTAGCAAGCTGTGCCCTGCAGCCTGCTTTCCCTTCGGAAATCACTTCTCTCATGCCTGGCTTGATATTTCCTGTGTGGATGCCCCACGGAGTGAAGAAGTTCTACCATTCACTGTGCCAGGCATTCAACCTTCTCCTTAGCCCTAAGAGAAGTGGTCGTTTTCAGTTTAGGGAGATGAGGATATTCATACTTAAAGAAGTTAAATAATTTTCCCAGGGATACACAGATCAGAAAACAACAACTTGCTATCCATCTCAGACCTTCCTAAATTTAACACTCTTTTTCTAATCCCAAACCTAAAGAACTTCTCTTTTTTTTTAGAGTCTCATTTTATCAGTCAGTTTAGTGGTTGAGTTGAAATTATACTTAGCATATGTTAGGAAGAGAATGCATTCTGTGTAATCTGGTAGGGAGGACTGGCACACAGATAGAGTTAGGTACATAACTGGCAGACAGGGGCAAGGGTGTGAGGCAGGAATTTTCTTACCCTTGAGGGTACTATGCATCCTGAAGGCAAAGCAGGCGCTCCATAGGAACCGCCTTCCACTGGCTGAGTGGTGACCACCACCGGAAGTGATCAGCGCTGTTTCTAACTTCTTCCTAAACTGTGATCAATAAGAACGTCAAGGCTCTGGAGTCAGACTCTTCTGAATATCAACTTTACAATTTACTTGCCCTATAAACTCAAATTACCTTGAGTCTGTTTTAGTTTCATAGGAAGACTAGCAGAAGTTACCACCATGAATTTTTTGGATACTTTAAGCACATTATATTTATAAAGTGCTTTATTCGTGGCTTGTTTTCCACATAACAAGCCGTCAGTCCAATTTGCCTACAGTTGAGTGCAGTACCATGTAATGGCGGAGTGCAGAATCAAGAGAGATTTCCAAAGTGTGAACCTCAGATGTGTGACTCACTCTCTCTTGACCTAGGGAAAGTTTCATACCTTTTCTGCACATGATTCGGTTTCTTAAAAATGATGCAAAATTTTTGCCATACTTAAATTAATAAACAGATAATACAACAGTACCTGGTACTTGGTAACCCTAAGAAAGTCTTGTTAAAAGAACATCCTTGGAGAGTCAGTGTCAGAGTTAGGACAGACAAGGAATTAGTTTCAGGTTACATCTTTCTTTGCTGACTTTAATCAAGATCTGGCACCAAAAATCTAGCAATCTTGTCAGGTTTTGAAGGTCTATTTGTGATTCTATCCTAAGACCTCCCTAACTCTGGAGCAGAAGCACAAAGGTCCCATGCTACAAGTTGAGTTCCTGTAGACGTAAGTTTAAAAAACCATCTTTTCTTTATGTAGGTGCCCTGTCATGGCAGGTGGATTATTTTCTATTGATAAAAATTACTTTTTTGAACTTGGAACCTATGACCCTGGCCTTGATGTTTGGGGTGGAGAAAATATGGAGCTCTCTTTCAAGGTATCACCAAGTCTTTTTTTTTTTTTTCAAATTTTCTATACAATTAACATTGTATCATTTTCATTGGTTTAATTTTACTAGTATAGATTTCCTGCCTTTCAGTATAAATGCAGTGGGATTGATACTTGATGCAAAATAACACCCCTAGGATATTTCTCTAATATATTGACAATCCTATAATCAATTGGTAGTGGGCGATTTTGGAAAATGCATGTGACAGAAGAGGAAAAGAGGACCTCTGGAAAAGGCCAGTGCAGGGCGGCTGTATCCCACAAGCAGTTCCTTCGGGGACTTCATTCAATCATTTATACCATCATTGATCAGCAGCTAAGTAACTCTTAGCAATGACCAGAGTAGAAACATCTATAAAGCAGCTGGGATTGCATGGTCTACATTAGAAGAGGTGTGACTCTGGAATTTATGCTGACGCATGGTGCGTGCCACAAGCCTAATGGATCTCCCCAGGATGAGAGGAGGGGAGGGTAAACAAATTGACATTCATTCAGCTTTCCCTGTTCAACCACAACAGGCATTCACGTTATGCTTTATACTTTGGGATTCCCGGAAGATTTCTTTAGGGGGGAAAGATAAGGTAATCTTGATGCAGTCCACCATCATAATTAACAAAACTAAAAGAATTTGTTGAGTTTTACTTTTTATCACAGAAATGTTTTCCCACTTGAAAGTAATGCAGCAAAAAGACAGAAACAGTTGCCAGGTGTTTTCTGACCACTGTTGATTGCCCACAATTTGTGAACACTTGTTTGATAATTGCTGCTTATCATCAAATTGTTCCAGGTGTGGATGTGTGGTGGTGAAATCGAGATTGTCCCCTGCTCCCGGGTGGGCCACATCTTCAGAAATGACAATCCGTATTCCTTCCCCAAAGACCGCCTGAAGACGGTGGAGCGGAACCTGGTGCGGGTGGCTGAGGTCTGGCTGGATGAATACAAAGAGCTGTTCTATGGCCACGGGGACCACCTCATAGACCAAAGGCTGGATGCCGGCAACCTCACCCAGCAGAGGGAACTGCGGAAGAAACTGAAGTGTAAAAGCTTTAAGTGGTACTTGGACAACGTCTTTCCTGACTTAAAGGCTCCCATTGTGAGAGCTGGTGGTGTGGTAAGTTCAGCTGGCGATTTCAGATCTTGCTCTGTTTAAAAAAAAAAAAAAACTTTCTAAAATGTGTAGGTAAAATGAATCATTTTCTTATGTATAAATACCAAATATGAATACCAATAAGACCAAGCACAATTGGTGATTAAATAGAAATAAACCTGAGGAGACAGTCATGTTCATTGATCAATTCAACAGACACTGCTGTGCATTAGGAGACCAGGCAATATTTCAGAAATGGATTGCAGAATGATAAATAAAGTACACTTGATATCTTTCTTTGGAATTTAAAGCTGACTTGGGAAGAAAGACAATAAACAAGTAGTAGATGTCAATATAAAATGTAATCCTTCTCATTTAGAGAACAGGCCACAGGTGGAGAATCCTTCCAAGCTAGTGTGATCAAAAATCTCTCTGAGGGTGCCGTGGAACCAAGTCTGGAGCCCTAAGCGCCAACCAAACTCTAAAAAGAGAGCTTGGTAGACAGGATAACCCTTGCAAACCTTCAAGACCAGTGCAAGCTGAGGGCATTCCAGAAGAAAAGGAAAGATGAGTCTTGTTGGGGCGCACAGAACAGAAACCAGTACCAGACGGAGATGGAAAGCGAAGCAGCAATCAGGTCACACCGGTTTCTGTAGGGAGAATAAGGAGTGTTCTTCCGTCCTTCCTCTGAATGTAGAGGAAATTCATTGAGCAAGATCAGGTACTGGGAGCACAAAATTTAATCAGGATTTAAAAACAAAATCTACAGCTTCAAAGAGGGCTTGAAAATAACAGAAACCATTGGGGAATGGCAGATAAAATTCCAGAGCACAAAAAGTGGCCTGAAAAGGGAAAAATGCTAAACTAGATGTGTTGGATAAGTGCAAATCCAAGAGAAACTCGGGCAGTCTGGAGAAAAGCCATTTCAAACGTGTGCTAGGAGTGAGACTCCTCAGAAGAGGACGGGAAGGTACGAGGCGCTGAGTGGACCACAGAGCAGGTGTAAGGCTGTGTACGGGGTGGTTAATCAGCCCTTCCACTCTCTTGTATCTTACTTCTAATTTTATGTTTATTCGTGAATACTGAAAGTATCCATTTGTTTTCTTTAGAAGTTTCCTATTTTCTTTCTTCATTCATGTTCTCAGATGTGACCAACAGTAAGTCCCCTTTTTGGGCCACACATTCCTATCCAGTTCTTCCCAGAAAGGGAGTTGCACAGAGCAGCCACTCTCCTGCAGGTCAGAGCTCCTGCCAACAAACACAGCTCTGCCATTCCCCTGGCCTGAGTAGGGAAGTCCAGGCAGGGTATTAAAGGCAGGAAACTAGTCCGAAGAGTGGTTCTGATGGTTTACAGACCTCAAGTGATAAGACTATGTGGCTTGTCTATATATATCACAATGCATTATTTCCTTTAAAATCGCCACTTTTAAAGCTCAAAAAAGAGCAGCTCTTTCAGGTGGCGCAACCTAGTATTTTTTACCCCAAGTAATTGGATTTGTACATATTGTTCAAAAACACTATGTCAATGTATACACACACACACACACACACACACACACACACACACACACACACACACACACACACACACACAGTTTTTAGTTGCGTCCCTGAAACAGGAAATAAAATCTCACTCAATTTTTCCTTTCCTAACAGAATCTCAGCTGGAGCATTACTAACCTTTAACCACCAGAGGGCACTACAAAACTATCTTTTAGCTTCGCTGTACTGTTGAGCGGGTAGTTGCAAGTGTGGAGAAATACATCCATATGGAAATATGACAGTGAAGCCCTTGAATTTGTGTGATTAATATGTTAAAGTGATAATAAACTAAATGTTAAAAAGGAGTTCCCATAAAATTGGCTAGAACTCTCATAATGAAATAGGCTTTCCTGCTGCTTGGACTATAATGTGTCAAAATGCAGCAACTATTTTTAAAATGATTTTAACAGATCCTTTCCTTTGTTTGTCCTATTATTTTGGTTTTTTTTTTTTACTTTCTCTAAAAAAATGTTAATAAGCATATCATTTGCTTCCCCTTGAAGCAACAACCAGAAAGTTTTATTAGTACTTTTTAATTCAGAGTAAGTTAACTAGACCCTTGTTTAAATAGTCCTGAAACATTCTAAGAAAAGAAGCCCCACATCTTTCTGTTTCATATTCCATGTTTTCCTGTCTTCCAGTCTATCTACTGAAGAGTTTATATCCAGGGAAAGTTCTTTAAAAAAATAAGAACAATTACTTATTAAATCAAATATAATTGACACTAATAAATAAATTCACTAATAATGCATTTTTCATGGAATTACATTGTTAGCTAACAATGTAATTGTTAGCCTAAAATTTAACAATTGTATAATAAACTGTGGGGAATTTCTGCATCCAGAGTTGGAAAATGAAATAATTTAATATAGAAAAATTGAAAATGTGTGTACTGCCTGATTTTAAAAGTTGTGGGATGGTTGAAATGGCTTACAATAAAATTATGGAAATAATTATTTTTAAAAAGAAAATGATTTAAAGCTATTCATAGTGAAATGAAGAATAACAGTTCTTTACCATCTATCTAAGACAAGAAATAATTTTTGCTAGTAAGTAAAAAGGTTTTCGGATGAAGTGAAGGAGAGGGATATAGGAACAGAACAGTTTTCGTTTTTTCCCAATTCCTTTCCGGGCTTGGGAAAGAAACTGCATAAAGTAAACACTGAGCAGTGAGTTGAACTAGGGCTTCCCGCACACTGCTCTGAACGTGGGTTGCTCTGCTAGGGTTCCGTAGTGAAGCAGGTTTGGGAAACGCTACACCCTAGCTGAACATCGTACCTGAAGGCACGGAGCACGCTGGGGATGACAACCTGATCTGCTGTGTGGGACCCATTTCGGGTTTCCTGAAAGACAGAAGATCTTCTGCTTTATCCAAAAACAAACGAGCTGATACTTGTTCCTGCAAAGATCCAGAGAACAATCAGAATAATTTCTCTTTTTTAAACTCCAGGAATGTTCTAGCTTCACCCACTTCCGTTCACCCTCCTCTCTGAAGTTAGTGTGATTAGATTCTTCTTTGCATTGTAACTGCTCACATTTACTAATGCTCTTGTAGGTGTCATTTTAAATTGTGAATAGAAGTTTCTCTGAGGATTTTTGATGGTGATTCTGTTCCTCTGAACCAGCAACTATCTTTAATGTTCGTTTCTGTACCTTGAAAGTTTAGGAAGGTTCCTATCCAATGAAAGTGATAAAAATATCTTCTCAAAAACAGATAAACATCACTTCCAATTCCTAAGAAGAACCTAGATTCCTGGGATAATGGGTAAATTGTTATCCATAGGACATCATCCCACTGAGGGTCCACCTTTCTGTGAAAGGTGACAATTCCAACTCTGGCTCATCTATATCCAAGTTTTTCACCCATTCTAATAAGGAGACATGTCTCTCTTACCAAGCTTGCAATTTTTCCTAGTTCAATTTTTCCTGCATGTTTGGGTGCCTGATGTTGCTCCTTACTTCTCCTGAGCTAAGCTATGCATGTAAAAGTAGGATCCACACACTGGCTGCCTTGTTCTGGAATTTGGCAACTCTATGAGCTACACAGCTTACTTTGATGCAGTCTCTTAGAATGATAGCTTTGTTATGCACCATAAAACAGAAAAGGGCAAATATAATGTCTGAGCAACAGAGACCTTCAAGCCCCCAGATCTGGAGGTTCCTGGCTCATATGGCATAGATTCAGCTCTGTGTAGCTCTGCTAGAAGCCTGAAAAGCCTAAATTTGCATTATTAACCTACCACCTTGTTAGCTCAGCTCAGGATGTCAAAGAGGGGTGAGGGAATCAACATTTTTCTGCATTAAACGGTGACTGATAGAAAGCTACCTCCATATCTGACCCTGTGAATCCATTAAAAACCTGGGGGCCTGCCAGAAAGTGCCTTTCCACTTGGCTCAATATTAGCTTTCGTGACTTTCCTGTAATGAATTGTAACTCTCTTGAATCATTAGAAAGATTCTGACAGGGAATCGGCTGGAATCTGCTGTTCTTTGAAGGACTCAATTTATCTATGATTCAGTGCCTAGGCAGATAGCTTGGAGGGGTCAGCCAAGGAACACAGTGGCTTGATGAAATTGAAAGTGTGTGCATTGACTTTTAATACATGCATCAGATAAATCTGAGACAAGAAAATAACTACTTTCCAAGCTACCTTTCGCTCAGTTTCCATTCTGCATTCAAGCAAGGGTTAATTAAAAGCTCCATTTTCTGGCTCCATGGCTGAATCACAGGCCTAAATTGACAGATTGAAGCTGTACTTTAGCAAGATTACATTATGTCTCTGTTAGAGCTAGCAACCAATATAATCATATTGTGCTAAGGAATGCTGTTATTAGCAATCTTTTAAACTTATTATAGCTTTATGGACTGTGTTCTAAACGTGTCTGAGTGTTTTATACTACTTTAAAATGTTTTATTTTTCTTAATTCATGTTTTACGTTCTGCTTCCTAGCTTGTTAATGTGGCACTGAGTAAATGTATTTCCGTGGAAAACACCACAGTCATTCTGGAAGAGTGTGATGCAAGCAGTAAGGTACGCTTGGAATGTTTTACCTCGGGGCTGATAGGTGCAGCCTTTGTCATGTTTGTTGACTGCTTAAGAAATTTATATCCACTGAGTGGAAACCCATGTCTATCCTCTAAACTCCAGTATAACCATGAGGCTAGTGTGTGAGTGGATCAAGAAATACAGTGACAGCAACTGAAAGAGGCCAAGTGTCGGTACCAAAATCCTCCACTGGGCCCAGCAGGTATCATTTGCAAAACGGTGTCAATTTTGAAAATTCTTCAGCCTTTAGGGAAATGGAAGTAATGACAGTGCTTACCTCCAGGGCTAAGACCAGAGTTAGGTATCACCTAAGAAATTTGTAGAACAATACCTCAGGCTTAGTGCTCTGTCAATGCCACTGCAACACAATTAAAAAGAAAAGATTGTAAAATAAATTGGTGGCATACAAAAATAGATGATAGCAAACCCGAGGTCATGAGTTCAATCCCTGGTACCAAAAAGAAAAAATAGATGATAGAGAAAAAAGAGAGAGAACGTATTTTTAAGTAATCATTCTAAGGAAGCAATGTGTTCTCTGATTCGGTCCTTCATACATCTTCAAGGAGTCACAGAAGTCACATAACCCATGACCCATGATGGAAAATCCTACAGCAAAACTCCCACAGACCCAGAACAGAACTGCTAGGAGAGAAAGTGGGGTCCTGGAAAACAGAACAGGGCTCCTCCTGCTGTGCCGCAGGTGAGCTGAGTGTTCACAGCTCCCTCTCCAACATACGTTCCCTAACAGCACTGCCTCTGCGGGATAGCTTCTGGTTTGGGTGCCAAATACGTCTCCTAGGAACATTGCTTTGTGAACAGCAATCAGATCCCTCAAAACTAAAGATTACTCTTTGGTAGAAAAATTACTTTCCATTGATAGCTGAGGCTTACTAAGTTTTGGTGCTTTGACTCAGAAATATTTCTTATATTTTCAAACATACTCCTGCACCGTGTAATTAAAAAAAAAAAAAAAAAAAACGGCAACTAGAAAAATAGAGACTTTTGTTGCTGGATTATAAACTTGAACCCTTGGGAATTCTTTATTAATTAGGGAAGAGCAGAGACAAAGAAGTGAAAAGTATCCCCCCAGAAAGTCAGTTGATAGAAATAACTTGCTTATTAACAATTCAAAGTGAAATAAAATCATAAATTATAAAACAACACCACAGTTAACCTAAATTGCATGCAAAAATTAAATAATGTATTTTTTGAAGATTCATCATAATAGGGATTTACTGTGCCTGATAAAACAGTATTTTTTCTGAAAACCCAGCTTCTGCTCTTGGTAACCACTGAGTGTGTATAGGGGAGGAAAGGAGACCGAGACAAGAATTATGTAGCCACTGTCTTTACCAGGCTCAGCTCCCACTATGTAAATGCTCATTTTTAGCTTCTATCTGTTGTGGATCACTTAAGTAACAAAAAGGACGGGAACATCAAGGAAGTTAACATGGTTTGGGCACAAACATGAATTGATAGCAAACCCATGAGAATGGTATTCAACCAAAAAAGTTGAAAGGAAATAAAGCCCTTAGATTTAAGCGTCAAACACTACCCTTACCCTTCCTGAAGACAGTCTCCTTAATTTTAAACCACTGGTGATGTTCATTTTCAAGGTAACATCTAGCTTATTTTAGTAGTTTTACAATAAATGGAGTAGGTAGAAAATACTAGCTCGCAAATAACTGTAGAGAATATTTTTAAGGATCGAAAACCTGGTTCCATTACCTGAATCGAAGTTTATTTTAGACACTGTCAATTCTTTAAAACTAGACTTCTCCAAGAGCAGCTCCTATAAATTCAGGGATACTAACATGGCTGCAGCCTCATGATTCCTTGCCCTGTCAGAAGAGAAAGATTTTAATGTGTCCTACAGTGGAACAAAGCCAAGGGTCCAATTGTCTAGACAGTCAGAACGAAGAAGGCATAATAATGTCCACCAAAGAAATTTAAGACTGTGACTGATCTCCCTGAGACTAACCATGACTCAGAAACTTAGGGATGGTTTGAAAATTTCAATACTTCAGTGTCAGAGTTGTCTGGAATTCAAAATACCTGAAACAGCATCATATGCAGATACATACTACTTGTAAAATACAGTAAGCACTTTTGTTACTGTAACAAACTTGCATTGAGCCTCCCTGTTTGCTCAATATTTGATGGGCATCCCTTCAATCCAATAAGATAATTTTGTTATTCAACTTAAAAATGAGAAAAATAAGGTTATACTGAATAAACAAAATGTCCATCTTATCACTATTGAAAGTGGTAGCCCAAGCAATTGAATATAAATCATTATTAGCCCCGCTTGGTGGTACCCACCTGTCATCTCAGCTCCTTGGCAGGATGACAAGTTTGAGCCCAGCCTGGACAACTTACCTGACTTAGTGTGACCTTGAGAAAAATTTTAAAAACATATTTAAGGGGGACTGAGGATGCAGCTCAGTGAGAAATCTCTGGGCTCAATCTCCAGTCCTTCGATAAATAAATAAATACACAATAAACCAAAGCCACTATATTTCTAACTATTGCTAACAAAAATATTTGGCAAGGTCTCCATGTTTGCTGCCTGAAATGATCTTTGCTTTATTCATTTCCTCTACAGAGTCAGCAATTTAATTATACCTGGTTAAGACTTATTAAACATGAAGAGTGGTGTTTAGCCCCCGTCCCTGACAAAGGAGCCCTAAAGCTGAGTACTTGTGATAACAGAAACTCAGGGCTCAAATGGCTGCATATATTAACCTCAGTCTTCCATCCAGACCTGGTAAGCAAAATTATTTACCTCTTCTTTACTAGCAATTTACCTTTTCATCAAATAGAATATAAAAATCTTCACTGTTAGTTGCCTCACTCAGAAGATTTAAATGGGTTTGTGATAACAGAGGCAGTCTAAAAGTTCACTCAGAAAGATAAACAGATTTTTTCAGTAAATTATCAAGTCCATTTTTTATTTTTAAAATGCATTTCAAAAGAATGATTTTAAAAAGAAGTCATCCCATGCCATGGCTGTATTGTCAGCCATGACTTTCTTTGTTTCTAAAAGTCACTTGCTTCATCCATTCAATAATGCTGCTTAAGACCCGTAAGCTGAAATTGTCATTAAAACCCTGTAGGGAAGACTTAAGGAAAAAATCAAGAAACTTCATGCTTACTCTAAGCCATGGCTTTGAGGATGGTTCTAGTTTTTCATTCTGCCCTCTTTCCATACAAGAGAACTTTTTCTCATCCCCTGTAGGCTCCAAGGACCTGTCCACTCTGCAGAATGTAGGGTCCAGCTCTGATAGGAGACCTGACTGTCTGGTTTCATGGAAGAGTGGACTGTGTAATTACTCACCAACTTTGTGTTCCATGATGTCACATTGTTGGCCTGAAAACTATCATGAGGAGAGTCTATCACACAAATCAAAAGATCCAACTGGATCCGGAAATATTGGTCCAGAGCCCAGTCCTCAATATTTACTAGAACTTTCCTCTCCCACTGTGTTCATTCTCAAATTTCACTCAGTTTTCCTGAGTTATTTTTTTTAACAGAAAATTCTAAGCACGTTACCTACCGTGTCCAGGATGTTCAATAAATAGTAAGCAATAACAGCGTCATTTGAAATGCCTTTTTTTTTTAATTAACCTGACTTTGGGACATCAAAATATGTACTACCAAAATTATGATAAAGAGAACATAAATAAAACATATCACTTCTAGCATTCTGTCATATAAAAGTACACTGTAAAAAATGAACTTAATACTTTCTATCATAGCATGTGTTATTTTTCTCTCCTACCACCCAATGAAGTAGTCCTCATTCATCAAATATATTAGATACCATTTGGAAATTTTCATTTAAATAACATAGTTACTAGCTATGCTATTAGAAAATTCATCTTTTGATTCCTGAAAGATTAAGTCTGATAGCTTAGAGAAGTATGAAAACTTAGTTTGAGACAAGACAAACTTAATACTTTCAAAATCCTGCATTTGTTATCAGTTTAGTTCAAGAGAATTCTTAAGGAATAAAATAATGATTGCTCGTCTTTCAGAGGGGGTACTTTTTTTTTATATCTCCATTGTTAATTCCATGTGGAGATTCATGCCTGTATCCTCTTTTTCTCTAGGTCAATCACATCGTTTTTGAAAACTCACATCAGTTGTTGTGCTTGGAAGGAAATTTTTCTCAGAAGACTCTGAAAGTAGCTGCTTGTGACTCAATGAAACTACATCAAAAGTGGAAATTTGAAAAATACTATGAAGACTGAAGAGGAGCCAATGTTTTTATCTAGAAAACTCTTTGGATACTGTGAAAGTAACAGAGAACTTGGTGACTGTATTTCTCAGTGTCATTTATATTTTCAATTCAAATAGCATTTGAATGGAAGGTCTTTAAAAGTCATAATTTTTGGAATAGCAAAAGATTACTCAGGGATATAATCCCCCATTGAACTAGAGTCCTTTTTTACCCTGGGTGGTCTTTGGGATCACCTACTTCCTTCCCTGTTCTGGAATTCATCCTACAAGTTTCTTCCAGGAATCTCACAGGTAACTGAAAATGAAGACAGATGTTTGGAAACAACGATACCCATGATGGTAGTGCTTTGTAATAACTACATTTGTTATTATTTGGCTTACAAATGAAGGAATAAGCAATGAGAACCTGTCCTTTATTGTCTAATTTTTCATCTCACAGAAACCTCTAGAAGTCTTATAGCTTTGAGATCTTAGACAGATGCATAAAGCTAGCACCCTGTTGAAACCCCTCCAGACTAATACGTGTTTATTGAACAGTGTGAAATAGTATTGGTCAATTACTGATAACACTGGCTAATAGCAAATGATAGATAATTTTGACCTATATTACCATGTAATTTGTTTTTATTTTGGCCTGAGTCAATGGAGACAATTTTAAGTGAGAAATAAGAGACCTTTAAATATTCACTTAATCATAGATAGACATTCTATACCTTAAAAAATTAATGACCTATAATTTCTGAGATTTACGTGGGTAGTTAAAAAAAGAGGCTTGCAACACACTGCCATCCCCAAAAATGCTGTTAATTATTGAACACACTGTAGTGTAGAACCATGTGAAAGACTCCAAACAAGTACAGTGGAAACAGCACACTGAAAAATGTTCCGTTTTTTACATGAAAGTAGTAAATTACTACTTCCCTGGGTTGAAGTATGCTAAAAATGGCCCCTAAAAGATTGCAAAGTATAAATTAAAAAAGCATAATGAAAGAGAAAGAGAAAGGAAGTGAAATAAACAACTATTAGAAAGAGAGCTAAGCAAAACATTGTCCTGGACTTGGCCTACGAAGAATGGGGACTTGATACTTCTAAGAGGGAAAAAAAAAAAGCCCTAAATATGAACCTAATGCAGGAAAGCAAGCTATTTCCTTGCTATAAATTAGCTGTCATCTTACATATACCTATACCAATACTTAGTAAGCATACTAGGAAAATATCTTAGGATGGCCTTACAGTCATTTTGTTAAGAAAATTGATACCTTAAGATAAATTACATGTCTAAAAATTACAGGCCAATTAGTGATAGGATCAGTATCTGGAGAAAAGGTTCATTCTACAGCTTTGTTTAGGCCCTTTGGCCTAAACAAATCAGTTCCACAGCCATTCTTAGAAAGAGATATCTAAACCTCTTCACTGGGGCTGGGTCCCCATGGCACGCCCATGTGAATCAGGCTACTATTTTTTTCCTTAAATCTTTGTTCACTTGAGATGATGCTAAAACTGGGCATTTTTAGTTGTTTTTCCTGTTTAATACTTAATTTTTAACTTCCAACTAATTACACAAAAACAGAGCTATTAACTAAGAGTGGGAAGGGGAACATTTTTGAACATTTGTGCCATATTCAAAATGTTTTATTCAGATAATTTACAATTGCAGATGAGATAAAAGAACAACTAGAAAATGATACAATTCGTTTCAAAACAGCCATTTGGAGGTGGGGGAGGGACAAGTCTGTTGCCGAGAGACTCACTGAATTACTGACCATGCCGGTTGCCTTATATAATTCTTCATATAACTGAAAAATTTGAAAGGCCCTCCTCCAGCCTATCAAACTTCTGTCTTCTCCAAAAATCAGCTTTCACAAAGAAAATCAATCCTGTTTAGAAGAAGATGGTTCATATTTTGAATATCCTTGAGGTGTACCAGCCAGCAAAAGCTGAATATGTTTCTCAAAAGAAACTTCTGTCTGCCTAACATATGTTCTTCCTGATTTTACCTTCCTGATTTTACCTTATTATATAAAGCTCTAATTGATGGTATATTGTCACCAGCACAAAGGATTGTTTTGGAATATTACATTATTTGTGCTGGAGGAAAATTTTTAAATCCTTTTGTCATATCTGTGCTTAATTACTCTAAGATTTCAAAGAGCTAATCACCAGTTAGGAACCTGTGTGGGCCTCCCCTTGAGAATACTGACTAATTGTCAAACCTGCTACCTAAAAGAAAACAGGATTGTCCTCTACATTTTGTTTCTGTTTTTAGAAGACTAGAATAGACCTATAAGTACTACTATAGCTCTTCAAGATCTTTTCATGACAAACTCTCAAAATGGGCTGCATGAGGGTCCTAATCAGCCCTGATTTCTTCAAAGAGGAGGCTGTATTCTTGGGTTTGGCTTAGATGATTGTCTTTACTAGGAGAAAATGTCTGCACATCTTAACTTGAACACTAGATAATATTAAAACTTACATGATTATAGAAAAGTAGCTTACCAAACCATGTCGGTGCTTCTGTGCCTTTCAGTTTGCACAACTGTGTTTTCTCTTCACCAGTTCCCCAGAGTTCCTACTCAGCTCGCCTGTAGGATCACACAGCTGCTGTTGGTAAAACCATCAAATTTGCCCAGTTCTGCTTGCTGACATTCAATGACCTGTCACTAACAGGAAACATGTGCCACAATCACAAGGCATCATTAGCTTCACCACACTGATCTGGACACATACTCTTAGACACAAAACCATTACAGCGCTGCCTAGGAGGCTATACTGGGTCCACACAAGAATTCAGTGTTCCCAGTTGGTCCTGATTTCAAAAACAGCTGGAAATGATTTGTAAGAATCTCTTGTGAAGAGAATGGGGTTGAATCATACTAGAGAGTATCTTATTTTTTTTGTTCAAACATTTCTAATTTGTTTCATGTTCAGCACACAAGAAAGAATCCTTCCACTGAAGGTCTCAATATCTTCTACACAGATAAGGAAATTACAAGAGGTGAAGGTAAAAAAGAGAGGAGCTGATCATCGCTGAGTAATAACTGTGTCCTAGGCACTAGATGGGCTTCATCCCACTGAGTGGGCCAGGCTGGTGCAGTCTCCTTCCCCCCTTAACCCAGATAAGAAGGAGTCTCCACTGCACTGAGGTATAAAGAGACAAAACTCAGTTACCATCCTAACTTGGTTGCCCAGGAATATTCATTCTCTACCCCATATAACTAATTAGAGCCATCAGTGCAGGAGGGCCCAGTTAAAATTCCCTTTTGATTGTAGACTGTTGACATTGCAGATATTGTGACGAATTGAACTCAAATCATTTTTTGCCTGTCTTCACTGTTGAACAGATAGGAAATGGAAGCGGGATCGCAGTTAAGCAATTTGTGTGGAGGCGTATGTGTGACTGGTGACTCTACGTGTCATGACAGGTTCTATACCCTTGACTGGTTATTTTCCATTTTTACTACCACATATGAGAAACAGAAATAAACACGGAGTGTGGCTTTCTCTGTGAATAATACCAGCTCCTTCTTCACCCTGTCTTTAAACAAAGCTGAGACATTGTTCCATTTGAACACAAATGAAAAATTTAAAAATTGAAGAATCCTTCAATTTAAAATGTCAAACCATGACTTTCAATGGTTTAAAATTCAAAACCATGACTTGTGTCAATTGTCACTATAATACTTTTGCAACAACCACTGTATAGGTTATTCAGAAATTACTGCAAGCCAAATTGTTTTCAAGTAAGAAAAAAAAAACAAAAACAAAAGCTACTGTATAAAATATTTATTCTTTTAACAAGTACTCCATCAACAAATTTGAATGAGCCATACACAATATTTTATTTCTCAGCAATGCCAAAAGGATGGTGTTTCAAGCATTTGCAGTACTCATGTCCAAGAGAAAGAAAAAGATTAAAAACAACACCACACAAAGAGGATTTAATGCATCTGTTTTCAAGCTTATGGATCAATTAACCATTACTATTTCAATTAGGATCTCTTTGCAAGTTTACCTGAGCCTTTGCTTTGTAAAAACAAGTGAAAATTCTCATTTTCCAGCACACTGGGAAACTTTGAATATGCCAAGCTCTTCATAAGGAAGATTGCCATAAAATAAGTAAAAAATAATTTCTTTGAAAGCAAAGGTATTCATATAATAAAATATTTCTATTTTATTATGAACTGATAGACATTTGCCTCAAGATATTCACTATAAATATATGTATGAATAAAGCCTTTACAGTAGGTGTTGAAATAAAAAATTTTGCTAACATGAATAAAGATTTTGAACTTTGATTATTTGAAAATATCAATTTTTGTAAAAATGGATGTTATATTTGTGTATGTATGTATGCACATGATGCTTTGAAGGAACCAAGAGTTTCTACATGCAACATAAAGGCAATATTAAAAAGTTCACAAGTACTTTTAGCTTTCTTGTAAATGTACAGTTTTGTCAATATCTTCCTTCAGCACTTTTACCTTGGATACTGTTCTACAAGTTTAAAGGAGTAGTCAGATTCTAAATTATCACTAGGTTTATTCTTCCATTTAGGATTAGGATAATGTTTGTGCTTCTCCAGACAACTTTAGCCTTAATTTTATATATATTCACTGCTGCAGGAAGGAAGTGGGCTTAAAAACAAGGGAAATCAAAGATCCAGTGGGTAATTTTGTTGTTTAACTGAAAACATTTGCTACTGGGAGAAGAAGTTCAAAACGATAGAGGAGAGAGATTTTCCAGTTCCTCTGAGCATTTTTAAGTATCCACCTTTTTGCCTCTGATCAACTGACATTAATATAAAGAAGTCAAACTTATAATTTGAAATTTCTAGAAAAATCCAATTACTTTCTAAATTCATTCTTAAAATTCTTCTGAGGTAGCAGTTAGTGACTAGATAGGACTGGTTTATTTTAATCTTGTATCTGGGTGATTTCTGCCTCCTTTACTTCTTGGGTCATTGTTTGAGTTGCTTGTATGGTCCAGTTATTTGCTGTTCTTCATGAGCTTGTACATATTTGGTCTTTATATTTATGATGTTATGTTATGGCCTGATATTTTAATATTGGCAAAATAACGTTTGACGTTACTTTTTATAGCCCTTTTGTTTTTATAGAGCAATGAAAGTTCAAGCTTTAAGAGAAGTGGTTGCCTTTCTCATATGGCCAAAACATATTTCTTCTTTATTATATGCTAGTGTTTCATCTTTTTCCATTATTTGTCTATTATTGCTTATTTAAAATGTTTTACCTACCACTGTGAAAAACGTAAATGTCTGTTCTCCATTTGTAAATTTGCTAAAAATGCTACCCCACAAAAATATGCAGAAACAATTACAATAAAAGTGTCATCATTGTTGAAATGTATGCCTTGGATGATTAAAAGATAAACATGTCCTCTTCAGGTTATTGGTAGGAATGTGCATCTAAAACAATATCTCAGTTTCTTTCACAGTAATAGAAATTTTTTGTGTGCATTAAATATTCACCAACTAGAAACTCTTTTTGTAATTTCATATATAATCCTTTTATGACCCTTCTGCAATAAATAATGCAAATTATTTGGAATAGGATGTTCTCTTTATTTTTTGAAGAGGTATTTATTAATGATCTTAGCGGGTGTGTGTGTGTGTGTGTGTGTGTGTGTGTATGAGAGAGAGAGGTTCTGGTAAATCCTGTGCCTTCAAATGCAGCATTTTATGAAATGTAAATTTCATATTTACAAGCAGAGTTATTAATTCTGGTTCATCTGGCAACAAAAAAATAAAAATCATGTAATAAATATCAACATTCACACAATGTATCAATTTCCTTTCTTATCATGTACCAGAGTCCTGACCACGCTGAAGCTTGAATCACAAAATCTTAGAAAATCTTCACATATAATTAGTAATTTTTGTTCTCAGTTATTTCTCATGAGTTTCATATGTTAAATATACCCTCATGCAATCTGATGGAGACTTTTGTCTCCCTAGGTATAAAAGCTCAGACATACGAACATCACCAAGTTCTTTAACACAGTGACCTTGGTGTATGATGCAAGTTATGACAATGCTCAGCAATGTCAAAGAACAGTGTGGGTGCTCTTATGTAATTACATCACTTCATCCATGAAATGAATGGATGTGAAAAGTGAAGCATTTACAAACTGGCCATATCCCAAAATAGTTTTTGTTGACAAAACAGTATACTTTTTATTTTGAGACAGGGTCTTGCTATGCGGTCCAGGCTAGGCTTGAACTTACTATGTAGCGCAGACTGACCTGGAACTTCTGACAATTTTCCTGCCTCAGCCTCCCAATTTCTGAGATTATAGACATGTAACACAACACCCAACTGTTGATAAACATTTCTTTATTGGTTAATTGCCTAGTGAGAGGACACAGCTTTAAAAAAATGAAATTATTGTACATTGTATACATTGGACTCCCAGAAAAGCCAATCAGTTTGCCAAATCACAGTCAGAGTCCACTTGTTTTACTCAGGCTTTACAGGACTCACACTTTCTATTGGACTAATTTAAAACACAGGCTGTCTTAAGGTGAGTTAATACTGTGATCCTGCTATCTGATGGATAACACAATACTGTTCTTTGATGTTAAGTAGAAAATTATAGGAATCATCACTAAGCCAGAAAATAGGTTGTCCAGTTAGATTCAGAAGATCTAAATTAAACAGAATTATCTTAGTGAATCAATCTCTTATCTAACTTTATCAATAAAAACTTGATTTCCCCTCACTGTATTCTAAAAATTCACATTCTATCAAATGAAATCTTCAAGGTCTATGGTTTAAGGGTAAGCCCTTACCCTTAGTAAAAGACATTACTTTACCCTATACTAAAGGGTAACACTTTTTACATGATCAGGTTGTAAACTATCTAAAAGAACAAAAGGAGTATGTTAATCCTGAATTTCAAAATTGAGTCTTGTAAACACTAAATACTGGTACATGATACTATGGAAATATATTCTATGACCAGGAAGAATCAAAAGAAGTTGCCACATACTTGTATGTGTAGGATTTATTACACATAAATAAGCAATAACCTAAGAAGGACGTTTTTTGCAAGATGAAAAAGAAACAAACAAAGGACTGAATAGTACAATGAAGACTGTATTACATTCAGACAATAAGGAATTGTCTTCTTATTTGCAGAGCCAAAAAATATTTTTATCTGTGGTAACAGAAAGTTCGGGGTGATATATATGGAAGAATGAAATGAAAAGTTGTGGAACAAACTATCTAAGAATATAAATATAGATTCTTTTCATAAATATTCAATACATTATTTGACATGTTGGTTCTTGTGACGCTCTGCAAGTACAATTTTAAGCTTCTTGATGTGGGCCGAGGTCCAGCAAATTATATATGCCCACAAGTATCAATTTTCTCACTAAAAATACATGCTTATACCCTACTTTGAAAGTATTCTAAGATAATTATTTTCATTTTCATAGTAACTAGCACACTTATGACTAGTATTGTCTCAGATTGCTAAGGAAAGAAAATTATTCTGAGCTAATGTTAATAAGAAAAAGGGCAGTGATAGAGAATGACATTTTCTTAAAATTGTTCTTAAAACTGTCATTTGTATTTTTTGATAATTTAATTGTGCTAGACAAGATTTTGTCTCCAGCCAAAGAAATAAACTAACCAATATAACCCTCTCATCTGGTGCCCACCAATCCTCCAGCCCCTCCCTGTGTTGACCTCACAATGAGCTTCATTCATTTTAAAAGCATAAAGCGAACATTTGCAGAGTTCTGACTGGCAGCCCTGCTAGTGAGAAAATTCAATGAATGGTGACACCTAGGAAGGAGACCGATAGAATTTCCACTCAGTGGATGCCAACAAAAACCCTTGAGAATGTTTTTTGATGATAATATGAAAGGCGCAGAGTTTTGGAAGTTTATTAACAGAGTGTATAAACCCATGTATAAAAGTAACAGAGATTTTATGCCAGGTTTTTCATTCCTGCAATATGCAGGAAGAAAGACAGAAAAATAGGAGTCGTTTCACATGGCCGCATCTTTCATTTGAGTACTGCTTTTTAAGACACATTGTACCAGATTTCCCAGTGGGGCTGTCTTTTTCATGCTTATTACTCTAATGGGATATTAGTGAAATTTTTAAAAAGCCAAAGCCTAAGAATTAATCTAAAGTTTTTTGATTTGCAGTGGCCAGACTGAACTCTGTCTAAGGTTATTTCCACATTATTGTACAGTGAAAAAAAATGCAAGTTTGCACATCTTCCAAGGGAAAACTCGGTAAGATATGGAAAAATTCATTTCAGGATACAATTAGCTTTTGTTTTAGCAGGGAGAAGTTGTCAGTTCCTGGTGGTTTATAAATGCATCATAGACTCAAATTCATCAATTCTTTGCTTGGTGTTTCCCTTCCTGATTTTCCGGTAAGATATTGTATTATACCTTGAATAAGCATTTCTAGAGATATCACCCTTCTTTCCTAACGTTGACAGCTCATCAGGTGTCACAGGTTGTGAACCGGGGCTGCTTAGTGGAGAGTCCTCATTTACATTACCTTCTTTGAATCGAGGGCCCTCTTCGTGCTTTTTCTTAAATTCTATCACTCGGACTTCATCTTCATCATCGTTACAATTATCATCATCATTAGTTTCTTCATCCCAAACCTCTTCCTCTGCCTCCTCCTGTTTAGAATGCAATACAACAACTTGGCTAGATCTCTGAAATCCCAACCATTCAGTTTCTGTTGTCGAGTGAGCTCTGCTCTTACTCTCTTCGTCTGCCTCCTCTACTGGTTGCTCAGTAATCCTCTCAGCAGGTCTCCTTATCCCCTGGTTACCAGTGCCGCTCAAAGGAATCTTCTCCCACTGATGCCCTGTAACAAAATCAAATGGTAGTTGATATGTGCAGAGGTTTCAAAATACTTAACTGCCATTATTATTCTCTAAGTCATTTTCATGAACAATCATTTCTCTACTGTTGTCTTATGGTATACGATTCTAAGCTACTAAAATGTTCTACACAATTAAGCATGCTTCACACTTGTATTGGTTGGCAGCTGCTTTAAAATTTATCCAAACCTTTAAAGTGCTAACAAATAGTGTAAATCTTAGGGAAGTCAGCAACCCAAATTCATTTGACTATGGAACTCTATTGTTGAGGGCTACCTTACTTGGTGAGATTGTAATTCCCTGAGACATACTTAAGAATCTTAGCATCACACACAGATACAGACATACCTTTCAAGGAAAATTAGAAAACAGTGACAGCCCACATCTGGTCCAACTCCGGAGCAAACTGGACGTCTTACATTTATAAAAGAAAGAGTGGAGCCCAGAGACAATCAGGACTCATGTGCTGGCCACCGAGGCACATGCCTTTCATCACACACTTAGAATGTTTGAGATCTCCCACCAATTTCTAGAAAGCCCAGATTTAGAAATCCCATTGAGATCATATCTTAATGCTAGACTAGCCTGTTGTTTTAGTCATATTACCAATGACAACTAATTGACACAATGATTTAGTGCCATGTAATAACTTCTAGAAAGTCTTAATATACTGCCTTCAACATTTTTCACACATCTAGCTCATATCAGTACACCTTGGCTAGTGTTCATTGAGCAGGTAAGGGTGGAAAGGCAGTTCTTTGAGCTTTCCGCTGTAAAAGGCTTCTGTGAGAAGCCCCAGACTGCAGTGTGCATAATCCAAAAATGGATCCTTGCCAGACTTGAGTTTCCTATTTCCTTTCAACTGCACAAGCCTTTGTCCTAACACTGCAGAATTTTCTATTCCTGAAAGATGTGTATGCAATTCCATTTTCATGCAAGATTTTTAGTTCTATTTTTTGTTTTCTTTTATTGATGTAGAAAAAATTTTTTGGCTTTTTGAGACAGGGACTTATTATGCAGTTAGGTTGTCCTGGAACTTTCTATAATCCTCCTGCATCAGCCTCCCAAATGCTGAGGTTATAGGTGTGCACCACCAGTTCAGCTAGAAATCAGATTTTAAATTTACAGAGAGATAGCAGTGAAGGTGTGTTATCTCACTAGTTATCTCTAGCTGCTGTAAATTCATTGATATCTAGTCAACGTTACATAAATACACATAAATACACATTAGAATATTATATATAATATTAAGCTCTTTTGTTTTTCCACAAGAACAAAAGAAACTGATATTTTTTTCTCATATTCATAACTCAGGCATGGGATTGTCATGAATGAAATTACTTCTTGAATTCTTGAATTTAAATCATAGCTTTTCTTCACATTTTTAGCAGCTTTATATTTTTCAGTCCAGGAGCATTCTCCTTGCAGATTTTATAGCTGTTTTGCCATTGTGAAAATAAAATACATCAAAATCTGTGCTTCTATCATGAAGGCAAAGCACATGCTCCATCAGGCACGAAAGCATTCATTCATAGACAAATTTGCTGGTAAGACCATCTAACTTTAAAATAGAGACTGCTTTCATTCTCTGTTCGATCAAAACTAGAGCTCATAGAAACCTATCATCTAGAGTGGGACTCTAGATAAGAAATTTTAAAAAGGCTCTAAATAAAGACTGTGATCCCTGCCTCAGAAGCTTCATTACATTGAAAGGAGAAAGATTAGGGCAGAAAGTTATTTGGTTCATTTCATGGGGACTTATGTCTAAAAACTATCCCTGGGAATGTAGTAAGTTGAGAGTGGTTACTGCCTGCTCAATTTTCCCTTAAGTAACTCTGCCTGCATTGGTCAGGGCACAGCGTTAAGTAGGCAAATGGAGCAAATTCAAGGAAGTTTCAGTCGCCTTACTGTTCTCCGTAATATCTACTACTTTATGCAATGTTCTAATATTTCAACCAATTATCTCTTTAATGTCTTTGTCTTTGGGTCCTAAGTAAGCTAAATTGGTTAGATCTAACAGGCTGACTCTAATTTTGAGATACCACATTTAAGCTGCAGAAGGGGAAGTGCATAATTAATTAATAGATTTTTATCCTACCCTTTATTTGGAAACTACATGGAGATACTATCTTTTTAGAAGAAATGTCTACAGGACTTTTTGTCTTAGTCTACTGATTTCCTTTGAAATTTAATATAGTCACCTCAATGTCTTTTTTATTCTTCCATTTCATTAAAGAACACAACTAAAATCCACTTTATCATTCTGGGAGCTTTAAAAAATAGTTAATTTTTTTTTTTTTACTTACATCAGGAGACTATAATTTTCCTACAGAGTAAATCATTTTACAGAATTATTCTAAACTGTGTGCCAGTGGTAGACTTTCAGGATGAACCTGCTTTGAAAACATTTACAGTTAGTGAGGTGCCTGACACAGATTTGGAGACACCAAGTCAAAAAAGAAAGGTGGATTTAATGGGCTAATTTAATAAAACACAGATATCATATTGGTATGCCAATCTGCTATACCAACTCATTCCGTTTTAATCTTGAGCCATCTGGGATGCTTTCTGAGGTGGGAAGCAGCAGAGAAGTCAAGATTCTCTTCTCTTCCTAAAGCAGCTTTTGAGGTTTTGAAACCATTGCCTGCACTGCTTTTCCAATACCCACACTGACACAACATTCCATGCAAAAACCGTCATCATACACAAGCAGTTTCTGTGTAGAAAACTGTAGTTCCTGTTACCTCCTCTGAACGTCATTTCATCAGCACTTGCTTCTTGAAGAGAAAGATCTGTGATAACCTTATGAACAATAAAGAGGTTCTCTTCTGGATTTTCTGGGGAAACAAATACAAGTATTGTAACATTTAAAATATATGTAGTTCAAGGTTAAAAATGTGTCAATTTAGACTCCAAATAGATTTCTTTATTTTAATTATGATTACTAAAAATTACTACTTGAATTCTGATTCCTTTATTTAGTTTATTTACTGAGTAATATATTTATTGATTATCATCCCTTAATATTTATAAGGGGTATAGAACTGCGAATTCAGACATCTTCAGGTATATGCAAGAGATTCTGAATTCTTTTTACAAATAATAATGGGAATGCTCCTAATAAAAATAAGTTAAAATTTAAAAATAACTTAATCAAGATTTAATAATTCTTCCCATCATCCCACAAATGTGGTTACTGTTTTTCTGCTTTCTTCTAATGAAAAAAGGATCTTGGATCTCACAGCTCCCAAAAAGACAAGGCTGGATTTACCAGAGCCAAAGGTTTAGTGCTTATGAGAAGCAGCCCTAGCAGAATAAGGTGCTACGTTTCTTGAATATCCTGTTTATTCTTGTCATTAACAGTTCATCCAAAAAAGAAAAAAGGATAACAGATAAATGTCCAGTGGGTTCATAAATCAAAGCAAGCAAAGTGCAGAGAAAGGAGAACACAGTACCTTTCAGGAAGTCCTCAGCCCTGGGCAAGCTGAGCTGCATACTGCCTTGTGATTTTCCTCCTTCTTCTTGGTTTCCTTTGGTGGGTAAATCTTCACGACTGCACTCATCTCTGGAATCCACATCAGTCACACCATCACTGAGATTAGTGATGGGTTGTTGATCATGTTCCAGGGGGCTATCCCCATTACACTCGGCCCCACCAAACGTTGCGGAAACATCTGCCATGATGTACACTGGAGTTCAATCTGCAGAGAGCTTTGGGGAAACTGAGTAAACAGATCCTTGGTATGAGGCCTTCTTTGCCTTCAAGTCCTATAGTTCCAACTATTTCTCTAAAAATACAGATTATTCACTCTGGTATGTAATAACTGGGTTTATTTGCAAACAGTGTCCAGCCAGAGTTTAGAATAAATGCAACAGGATTTGTCAGATTTGCCCAAAGTCCATTCAGCCAATCACCACCTCCTTTGGTGCTCAGCAGTCCCACTTACAGAATTAATGTCACCCTTTGCATTTACATAAACAAACAATCTGAAGCAATCAGGCTTTTGTGTTGGTTTGTAGAGGGGGACTTTCAGCTTGTCAGTCCCCCTCTGGGAACAGAGATTTTTGTTCCTTTTCATAATAGTTCATTGTAATTTTCCTTGTAACAGGAGCCGCAATTGTTCCACAGCTTTAATCCAGAGAGAATGACCACCTTGAGGCATATTAGTTCTGTGTAACCAGCTTAACATTTCCAAACAGATTTTGTTCAAATAAAACCTCAGCTATTTTGTAGGAGCCAGTTGCATCATTTTTGTTGTTGTTAACAAACAAAATCAGCTTATAAAAGACCAGTAAACAGGACAACTTTATTTTAAAATGATTCTGGCAGCAGGTTTCATGGTGTGTTTTCAGAAGATCTGGGAAGGGGCCTTTACAAAAAAAAGTAATTCTCCTAATTTTATAACACCAAAATTTATAGTTTTATTTGTTCATTATCGCCTCCACTTCTTTATATAAGTAGCTTATGAACAAATACCATAAGCAAAACCTATAGTTTAAAAAGCATGTAAAAATGATCCACTTTAACAATCATAAAAAAAATTGAAGTTTGAAACATCAATAGCATATTTCCCCACCTACTGCTGGGGGAGGGTGTCAAAGCAAAAATACAGCCAATTAGCTAAGAGCATTGTAATGTTAGATGGGATCTCAGTTTGAGTCTGACTACCACCACTTAGCTGCTGTGTGATCTTGGGCATGGCTCTCAAACTTTGTAAACCTTAACTACTTCATCTTCAAAAGAGGGAAACTGATGATAGACACTTCAGAAATGTGAGGATAATGAAATGATATATGCAAAGTATTTAGATCAGTGCTTGACACGTAATAAATGCTCAGTAAATGTAAGATATTAGTATGACTACTGAATATACAAAAGTACATTATAACACTCATGACATTTAGCCAGGCTCATTTCGCTATAGGCAGCTGAGTTAGACAGATATATTAAAGGCAGTCAGACAGGGCAAGGCCCTCGAAGGAGCCAGCACAGAGGAACAGACACCTTGCAAATTCTGCTGAGGGCCAGATTTCAAGGCAAAAGGCAAAACAAATGCAATGGCATCTAAGTATATAGCATAAGGAGTTGATATTTTAAATAGCTATGGATCACCTTGAGGAAGCCAGGAGTTACCATCCCAACCCCCTACAGGAAGTCATTGCTCTTTAAGCATGGCTGCTTGCTGTGTGACTGGCTTCCTCATTTGTCCCCAATTTGGCCAGTTTTATGTGAACAATTAATATTATTGGTTCACTATAGTTCTGTCTCATCTCATACCCATCTGCCTTGCAAGTTCTGATGTTTTTTTTTTTTTTATTTAAGGAGAAAAAGAAAAAAAACAAGGGTACAAGTTATACAGAATTTTAAAAAAAATAAACAGTAGGAAATCACTAGTTAATAGATTACATATTGTCATCTTATAAATAGTTGTTCAAGTTACAAAATTAAAGCATATAAAGTGGACATTCAAACAGTGAAACTGGAAACAGTTCTGTTCAATGATCCAACCAAAACTCAGTAATATGGTTATCTATCTTATACGCTTAAATATACATGCAGTTATATCCTTTAGAGCACTTTCTTTTCCTCTCTTTTTTACAATGACAATTACACATTTTGGATTTTATTACTACCACAATTATTATTACTTTTTTTTTAAAAGAATAAAACCAAATGTGACATAACAAAACAGAGTCAGTCAAATCAAAAGGATGGACATAGTACATAATGTAAAAACAGAATACAAGGTGATCAACAATGGTTACCATAATGCCTCTTGCTATCTTAAAAAGAATTGCCTATATCATCAGTTATAATAAAATTGGACAAAACAGTAAACAAAACCAATAAAAACAAAACATTGGAGACATTACAGGATGTCAAAAGAAGATAATACTCAAACCAGAATGGGCATCATAGTGAATCTTATTGTTTTCACAGTTGTTGCCTATACTCTTAAACTTGGTACTATCAAGCAAAACAAAATAGAGTAAAATCACTCAAAACAAGATGGTGAGAGCAATATAGGGTTTCAAATCAAGTTAATAGGAAATCAAAGTGGGTTACTATAATATATCCTGCTATATTTTATTTATTTCCCTTAATTAAAAAGATAAAAATAAATAAATAAAGGAGATTGAGATAAAAGAGGACATAACAACAAAACAGCACAGGTCAGAATATAGCCATTTAAGCAAAATAGTGTTTTACCATAAGATATTCTGACATAAAAGTAGTTACCATAGTGCCTCTTTCCTTTAAATCTTTGAGTATATCTTCATATACTGTAGCATCAAACATATCAAGATAAGGTAAATCCATTCAAGAGAATGACAGTATTACAGGGTATTTAGAACCAACTAACAGAAAATGAACAATGGTTTCTGTATTATCTCCTTGTCCATAAAATTTTTGCTTATATTAGCACATATAATAAAATCTAATAAGATACAACATGTTAAAACCAATGGAGACAGAAGAACAAAAGCTTGATGGGACTTCAAAACAAGATATTAAATCAGCATTAGCTATTATGATGTCTTGTTTTCTCCAAAATAGCTGTTCATACCATCCAACCTTCTCTGCCTCATTTCTGTTGAGCTCTTTTTCTGTCATTAGTTGTCAGTTTGTCTTCTTCATTTTGCTTTCTGCTCCATTCATTGTGGCCTCTCTGCCACTGTTTCTGGAATCTTGGTATTTTTCTTTTTTAGAATGTCCTGCAATATTCTCTGTAAAGTTGAATTGGTGGTTGCAAATTTCCCTAGTTCCTCTTTATCCTGGAAGCACTTTGTTTCCCCATTAATTTCTAGGGACAGTTGTGCAGGATATAACAATCTTGGCTGGAGTTATTGTCTTTCAAAGCTTGAATTATTTTGCCCCTTGCTCTTCGTGATTTGATGGTTTGTGCCAAGAAGTCTGCCGTAATTCTGATGGGTGTTCCCTTGTAAGTGATCTGTTTCTTGTCTCTGACAGCTTTTAATATTTTGTTCTTATATTGGATTTCTGGAATTTTTATTATTATATGCCCAGGAATAGTTCTGTTTGGGTTGTAGGTGGCTGGGGTCTGTATGCCTCATAGATCTGAGTATTTATCTTTTCCTATATTAGGAAGTTCTTCTTGATTATTTCTGTGAATAGCCTTTGCAATTCATTTGTTTGTATCCCTGCTTCTTCCTTTACATTCTTGATTCTTAAGTTATAGATCTTGTTATCTTCTAGCCTTTGTATTGTTACTGCTTGTTTCCTTGTTATTTTTAAGAAGTTTTTCCTTTCATGTTCCCACATTACAAATCTTTCCTCCAGTTCAGATCATCTATTCTTAGTTTCTTTCAAGTTGTTATGCCAGCTTTCAATAGAGTTTTTAGTTTCCTGGTAATCTCTTTGAACCTGCTTCATGTATTCTACATTTTCTCTATTTTCTCCATCAAACAATTCTCCCCTTTTTTTCTGTTCTTCCATTCCGCCATCTGTTTTTTCTTGGGATGTGCTTAGCATTTCTCTAACTATTCTACTTATATCTTGCTTTACTTGGTTAAATACTTCACTTTTGAACTTGTCTATGAGGTCCCAGAGATAACATTTTATGTCTATTGGTGCTGTGCCTGATATTGCATGTTTTCTGTCCTCATTCTCCTTTACATTTACCTTTCCTGGATCAGTGTTCTCAGAATTGGGAACTGAGGACCCTTTCTTGTTGCTCCCTCTTCCCATACTTTTTGTTCCTTCCATACAAGTGTATATAGGAGGCCCAGTTTCTTTCTTTGTCTGTCAGTTTGTTTGAATCACGCCGGCTAGGTGTTCCTGCCCACTGCAGTGTACTAGGGAGACACAGATCTGGGCAGCCTATGCTGGGCCCACCCCTCCAGGTCAGACAGCCTGCTGAAGGCTTCACTGCATTAGGGTGCACTGACAGGCCCAGGGACCTGGTTAGGGCTAGCCTACTGGGTCTTAGTCTGAGGCATCACCCAGGTCAAGCACTCCCCACCAATCCTGCTTGAGAGGGCAATATGTGACTGAAGTCACTGCAGTGTCCTGTTCTGGCTAGTCTGCCCAGTCCCAGAATGTCCTTGGTTAGAGCCTCCTAGTCTATGGAAGGGTCCTTATTCCTCTCACTCACTGCAGGTCGATGCATGGCTCCTGCCAGCTCTGCTCTCAATTTGGTTCACTGATTCCCACTCTCGGAGCTTTTGCATCTCTATCCCTGCTGTGCCAATTCAGATGCAGCAACAGTGACAGGAAATTCAAGCTGCAATTTCCAGAGGCAAGGGTTCTAGCTTCAGCACTGAGACTTTAACTGTTTGAGTCGTAGCACCAGGATTGCATTTCCAGTTGGTTTCTCTCAGCTTAGTTCATTCCTGGGTCATCAAGGTATATCTCCCCCTGCTTAGGACTCCCCACATAGCACCATTCCTGGAATCTAAGCTGGCTATATTAGAGAGCCTCCATAGCTGCTGTTATCTATCCACCATGTTCTCCCGAAGTCCAAGTTCTAATGTTTTTTCCATCTTGGACCTGTCTCACTTCATGGTTTTACTACATAAAAGTCCCTGGGAAAGACAGAGTCTTTGGCAATCCACTAGTGACCCCTTCTAGTCTCTCAAAGAGAAGCTTTTTTTCTCTCAATAAATGTATTCTTTTCTTCACCTCCATTGTTCCTAAAATTTATTCTTCAATTTTAGAGAATATAAACTTGTACCAGATATATAGTAGGTTGAGAATTTCATTCCTCTATGTCAATTTCATCAGTGATTCCCCCTAGTTTATTTATGTCTCCTGGAGCCCAAACTGTGTTTACAACTGTATTTTAATTTTCTGCATTAAGTTTTCCCTTACCTCCATGAGAAATGCCATCCATGTTCTATACTATTACAGGGTGTTGGTATAATGCCACAGCACCAACACGAAG